TCTCTAGACTTCATGACCAGAGACCTTGGTCACTTTCAAGTTGCTCAGTCATTCATAAAACCCATGCCCCTGTCTCACGCGTGTTCAGGGTTGAAGGAAACAATGGGAGAGTAAACTTTGCAAAATCGCTGACTCTTTTGTGCGTAGGATTTGGACTGAGGAGGAAACAGCCCAGGTGCTCCCCTCAAACCTGGCCGCGGACTGCCCTGCTCAAAGAGGCGGCTGACCTCCCTGCTTTGAGTGTGCAGCGGGCCCCGTCTTTGAACAGGGCACCCCTGCCTGTTTTTCCACTCCATGCCAGAGATTTGATTGCTATGCAACGCATATGCTGCCCTTGCTTTTATTGGCAGTGGTTGAGCCGCTCTGAAGCCTCATGTTAAAATACCAGGGAGTCCTTTGTTACTTTTTATTTTGAGAATGGCACAGCGAAAACATACACAATTTAGGATCTGCATGCACAATTCGGTGGCACATTGACTACATTCTTCTAGTTGTACGGCCACGTTCATCCCCTTTCTCAGTTGTGCCTCGGCCATTCACATCAACTCACTGCCCCTACGGTTCCCAGCTAATCTTTGGATCAGTAATCTGATCCTGTATAGAGAGGTCTTGAGGATCCCTGGTGGCTTCGTGAGGTTAACCCTTGAGCTGCTAATTGAAAGGTCAGCGGTTCAAACCCCCCTGGAGCTCCTTTGGAGAAAGATGAGGCTGTCTGCTCCTGTAAAGGTTTTCAGCCTTGGAAACCCATGGGGACAGCTCTAGCCTGTCCTGAGGGTCTCTGTGATTCGGCCAGATGGCAATAGGTTTGCGTTGTTTTTTTTAATTTTTTTTTGGGGGGGGGGGGGTTACCCTTTAATTAAGGAGACCTGATGGTGTTATCAGGGAATTGACTGTTCAGATAGGTACTATTTATAAGACTCTCATGCCCTCATGGAACAGTGGTAAATGCTCGGCTGCTAACCGCAAGGCCAGCAGTTCAACCCCACCAGCTGGTCCTCGGGAGAAAGCTGAGGCCATCTGCGTCCATGAAAATCACAGTTCCTTTTTTGGGGGGGAGGGGGGTTTCAATTAACAGGTTTTATTAGCGTTAAGGACCTACCCTGGTGTTTAGATTGGAATGAAAGTCAAGGGGGCAGGGTGAGGGAAGGTCGTAAGACAGAGTGAAGAGAGAATAGCCGTAAGTAAGAAAGGGAGAGTTAGAGAGAGGAAGAGACAGGGATGGACGTGCGGCCACAGGAGGAGGTGGTGAAAGTCTGAGAGAGTGAGAATCGCAGTTTTGAAAGCCCTCGGGGCAGTTCTGCGCTGACCTATGGGGTTGCTGTGAGTCGATCGACTGGATGGCAGTGGGTTTTCATGGGTTTACGCAGGAGGCAAATGTTCCTTCCTGGCTGGGCTAGCCTGTGGTCGTTTAGGGCGACGACAGCTCATGATCAGAGTGGAAAGATGATCTCCAGACATGAAATCCAGGGTTCACACGGTCTCCGCGGATCCTGTCTGGTTTTTATGAGTCAACCTGTCGTGCGTGTGTGATCGTGATCGGAGGGATAATGTTCCGAGCACATTGGTTACACAGTTTGCTTTGTGGCCTTGACCGCAGGCCCCAGGCTGTGAGAGCACCCTCCCCCTTCTCTTGGTTCCAGCCCTGCTTCTGTCTTTATGGATCCTCCCGAGGGACACGGCTTGATCCGTCACAGACAGACACATTGTGCCAGAGTGTCCTTCAGCAAAATGTCTTTCCTGCCAACTTTGCAGTTGACCTCTTTTCGGGGCGGGGCAGGGTTTTGGGGTGGATTGTTCCTGCTTGTACACCAGCCTATTGCTTAGTTGAAAATTGAACCTCCGGGATGAACCCAGCTCCCAACCTGACGGGTGGCGATAAGGACCATCGGCTTGAGGGTGCCTCCGGTCTCTATCCCACCAGTCAGCGCTGGCCCACCCCCAACCTCCTCTCTTCCCAACACCTCTCCCCACCCCATCTCTGTGTCTGTCCCTCCCCCCTGAGCCCTCATCTCAGCACGACAAGCTCTCAGATCTCCCTGCCCTGTCTCAGCGTCTGCCCACACCCCGCGCACACCACTTCGATGTCCGAGTACAGTGAACCCTCGT